AACAGGTGCCTTACTAGTAGTAACAGGTGCCTTACTAGTAGTAACAGGTGCCTTACTAGTAGTAACAGGTGCCTTACTAGTAGTAACAGGTGCCTTACTAGTAGTAACAGGTGCCTTACTAGTAGTAACAGGTGCCTTACTAGTAGTAACAGGTGCCTTACTAGTAGTAACAGGTGCCTTACTAGTAGTAACAAGTGCCTTACTAGTAGTAACAGGTGACGTACAACAGGTGCCTTAAGTCAGTGAGGTCTGGCCCTGGACCATCACCTCACATCACAATGGGGGTCCGAGTGGTCGGAATGCTCCGCTCTTTCAGGGGGGGAAAGAACGGGTGTCGGTCTCCCTGTTTGAGCTACACTTATGATGTACGCTAAAGCTAGTTCTGATGACACAGCAAAACATAAAAAATGCATAAACAATGCAAAAATAATGCAAAACCAATCCCGAAAAAAATGCACAGAAAACGCAAAAACAAGTCACCAAAGGATGCCTTGGAATGCAAAAACAAAGCAAACAAATGCGAAAAAAAAACGCATTTGTCCACTAAACCAATGCAAAAAAACGCACAAAAAATGAAAAAAATGCACAAAAAAGGCACAAAAAATGCAAACACAATGCACAACAAATGCAAAAAAATTGCAATCAAAAAGCAAAACGAATGCGATCAAAAACGTTCTGGTCTTTGCCTTTGCATTTTTTTGCTTTGTATTTGCGTTTTTTTTTGTGCAATTTTTTTGTATTTTTTGTGCGTTTCCTTGAGAAAACGCAAAAAAATCGCAAAAACAAACGGACAAAAAACACACAAAAAATGCAAAAAAAAGGCAAAACATCGCACAAACAATGCAAAAAAATGCAAAAAATCGCAAAAAAAAGGTGGTGTGTGAAATTTGGTTGTGCATGTGCATTTTTTTTGCTTTTTTGAACTGCTGTTCTGCTTTTTTTTTTGCTTTTTTTTGTGTTTTTTTTTTTTTTTTTGGCTTCCTTTTGCATTTTTTTTGCTTTTTGATATGCACTCTTTTTGACCAGCTGCTTTTTTTTGCTTTTTTTTATGCATTTCTTTTGCATTTCCTGGTCATCCTTTGTGAGTGTGGTTTTGCTTTTTTTTGCTTTTTTATGAATCCTTGAGATTTCAGAGTTAGGCTGTAAGGTACATCATAAAGCTACACACCTTTTGCTCAGGATCATCTCTTGCTCTCCTTCTTGAATTTATTGATACAGGTGTCTTCTTGCTCTCCTTCAGGTGTCTTCTCTCTCTTGTCCCGGTTTTGACCCACAGCCATATCAAGATATCCCCATTAGCTAGAAACCTTCCTTGCACGCCACACTGGGCACACACCCAACAAATAGAGAGTCCTGGCATTCGACCAACATCCGCCCTCCTCCGCGAGGTTGGAAAAGATGGTGGCGGACATGGACGTCCTCACCAACCTCCTACAGTCCATCGAGGCGCGCATGGCGCACACCGAAGCCACCACCGCCGAGCTGGCGCAGCTGTTGAAGCACCGAGCAGCCGAGTCCAGCGTGGACACCTCGGCACCGAGCCCCGGGCGAGCGACAAGCAGGGGCGGAAGTCATGTGGGTCCCGTCTTTTTTGGGGTGCTTCTTTTTGTGGTGGGTGGGGTGGGTGGGGTGGGTGGAGGGAGTACAGGTTTGATTTTTAAGGTGACCGTTCTTCTGGGCAAGTCGAGGATGGTGGTGGGTTCACCGCTGAGAGGTCTCGAAACTGACCCTGTTAGTGGTCAAAGGACAAGCATTGAGCAGTTTCACGATGTTGGAATATGTTGGATGATGCTCATCTTCAGTTGGGCTAAACATTCGTAGCGCTGAGAGGCCCTGTACTTGTCATCGGGCTCCACTTAGACGAATGCCCAAATAAGGGACGTTTTCGCTGTGTCTCTCCAAAATATAGCCGAGGAAATGAGCAATTGAGCAGCCTCGCTGAGTACCAAGTTCCTTGGCACACAGAGTAGGGATTTGGGGATGTCTGACATGAAGCAAGTAAAGTTGTATACCTTAGGAGGAGGAGCGGACAATCTTGAAATCATGTAATGGCAAGATTCCAATGATGGAGTTCTTGGCAATTGCCTCAGATATCATTGATTAGACATCTCCTTTCAGACCTTGCCCCCCTAAGAACAAAAGGATTCAATGCTGCCCTGGGTCAGAGAATGACGCTACCTTTTCACCGTGGGGGCAGGGTCTAGGGAGTTCTCATGGGGACATGAGTGTAACTTGAGGACTTAAGCGCTCGGAAAAAAGAGTGCGATCAGAGACAGAAGAGGCGAGAGGAGAGACAGAAGACGCTGCGCTGGTCAGTCGCTTATAGATCGATAGGATCATGGAGAGAATGCATGGAAATGATAGAACATCATGTTTGCAAATTCATTCTCCAGGGTCCTGTTCATTCAAGTTTCAGTGACAAGAATGTAGTGCATGAGCTAACCAACGACTAGTGTGATGTTTTCCTTCCATGCTGCGCGGGCCCAAACATAGTTGCACAAAATAAAGAAAACAAAAACCACAGGATGTTGGAATGCAATTCCCACATGATGCACCACAGTTTATGTGCACTTCAAAGCTCAAATGCATTTACAAGGCCCGAGTTTCAGAGTAGATGGCATCATCTTCAAAATTCAAAAGGTTGTTTACATGGACCCCATATAAGAGACATTTTTGGAGTTTGTGTCATTGTGTCATTTACTCTGAAACCATATAGTTTCTGCCTGCGATCCGCACTATATATTTGTAGCTTCACAGAAGCACACGGGCCATGCTTCAATGCCCCGTCACCAGGTACGATTTGGCCAGGAATGTGGACAGAAAAGGGGCCATGCCTGTCCGAAAATGAAGGAAGCGATCAACCGATTCAATAGAAACTGGCAGAAATTGATAGAAATGGATAAGAGTAGTTGCAATAGTAACATAGTAATAGTAATGGCTAGGCTATATATATATATATATGCTAGAAACATCTAGAAACTATAATGTACCTTTAATATATATATATAGCTATAAAAGCAGATTCTAGTGATTCTAGTGATGCAGACTGATTTTGTACAGGAAGCGGCTTGGCGTTGCTAGCAAGGCACGACACAGTGACCCATTATGTAACAATCCAGGTGTTTGTTTGTTTCTCGCGGTTGTTTCTGCTTTGAGTTTCTGAAGTTAGATCCAATAAAACATGGACAACTCGATC